CCCCCCCCCCAACTGATATCTTACAAAATATATTCCTGTCCTCACAGAAAATGGTTGAATGTTTAGCAGCAGTTTACTTTTATCTTTAAATGTTGGACTGTGCTTTGTGGAACTTGGGTTGCAAGTCCCTCTTAACTTCAGTTTGTGGGGTATTGGTTTTATTATGTTACAAAAACAATCAGAAACAAAGCCTAGGGGTCTTCTGTAAATCTGGCTGATGTTACCACAATAATGTTTATTAAATGGGAAAACCCAAGTTTTGTGTGCGTGATTGAATTAAAAAATTGCTATGTTGGACTGTGCTTTGTGGAACTTGGGTTGCAAGTCCCTCTTAACTTCAGTTTGTGGGGTATTGGTTTTATTATGTTACAAAAACAATCAGAAACAAAGCCTAGGGGTCTTCTGTAAATCTGGCTGATGTTACCACAATAATGTTTATTAAATGGGAAAACCCAAGTTTTGTGTGCGTGATTGAATTAAAAAATTGCTTGTTTTCTACATTTGGAAAACGGGGGAAAAAAATCTGTAGCAAATGAATAGTGGAATGTGATTATGAAGTTTTTTCACTTTTATGCTTAATATCTATGCAGACTAGCTAGGAAAAAATTGCACAGAACAGCATTGCAACCACTTTAGGAAGTTTTAGAAATTGGAGACCAATAGGAACCAAAGCAACAAACTGTTAGATTTAGATTTCAATTGCAAAATTAACATTTCCAAAAAGTATTGTTTTTGTTTTTTAAATTCAGACACCATGGCTAGTCATTTGAGTACATCTTTCCATCAGACTGTATTTTGAAACCATCTGTGCTTTTTGGGATGGCAACCCTCCTCCCACCAATTATTGCATAATTATTTTTTAATGGTATGATGATAGCATTAAGCAATAAACTAATAAATAGAATACATTTCACTAGTACTGTTCATAAATATCTGTAAGAAATAATGTACTACGCTTGACTTAAATGAGTCAATGAGTATTTAAAGTAATACTCCCTTCTCACTTATTCAGAAAAAAATAAGGTATTTTCCCTTCCATCCAAGGCATCCCTGCTCAGATAAAAGGAAGCTCTTCCTGTTCCAATCTGTTTTTCATATTTTAAGCTGCCTTTTATTCCTCCCTAAAACTAAAATGAGGTCATAGCCACACAGTCAAATTGCCTTCTCTTCCCAACCATTAGAATGTTGGTATTTTATTGGAAAAGCAGGTTTATTTCCAGAAATCCAAGATTAGGAGTGCATATCGGATGTGCAGGAACCTATATTAGTAAATTCTTCACACCCAGATGGTTATTTGTACTTCTACAGTCAGCATTAGTACAGGCCCTGTCTTTGCAATGTTTCAGGACTTGTGTGAAACCCCTTTGGTTTTAATGTCTTGTATGTTTCTGTCTCTTCTGCCCAGCCCTTTTTAACTAGATCCAGCTTTGATTTAGAATTTAGCATAAACAATGACAGCCCAGTGCCTCTATTGAAAAGAAAACATTTTATAAGTGAGGGAACTTAAACATAAAAGTTCTTAAGTGTTCTTTATTTACCTGCCAGAAAATCTTAAGTTACACCATGGTCACCTTTATTTAAGGAAACATGCATTTCCTGTCTGTTAACAAATTTTTACATATTTGTGTCTTCATTTGCAGAAAGTTGGTACTGATTTTGTTTGATTCACGCTCACTGATTCATAATAAAAAGAAATCCCAGATTATCTGACAAATTGAAGTGTGTGTAACTTCTGCATCAGATACCTAAACGACCCACTGGGTTTTTTTTTTCTCCTCTTGATCACGTCTGTTAGCATGGAAATTTGCCATTTTCCAAATTTATATTTATAAAAACTGTAGCACCTCTTTGTCACTCTTGTTTTGATATATTGTGAATATATTTTCTGACTGTAAACCTCTCAGGTTAAATGCTAAATACGTATGAATTAGATACCACTGAAAGGGAACTGAAGAGGTTGGATAAGTCTAGGAACTGCAGTTCAAATTCACATCAGCCAACAACAAGTTCAATATTTTCTTCCACCTGATCCTAGGCATAAAATTAAACAGGCACGATCTCAATTCTCTTCTTTACAGTCCAGTCCCCAAACCATAACATGTGGAACACCTGTAGTAGCTTTTACTTATAGGTGATTCTTTTTGCAAAATACACAGACCGAATAAGTATGTGTACTGTATGGTTGAAGTGGGAGTAGATAACACAGGACTGGCTTAGTACTTTTTATTTAACTAAGGATTTCAAACTTTTGTTCTATTGGTTCCCTAAGTCATGCTCAATTCTAAACATGCTGTAGTTTTGGATCTTAAAACTATACATCCAAAAGTATTGGTATAGGCCAGGGGTTGGCAAGCTGTGGCACACATGCCATAAGTGGCATGCGAACTGATTTTCAGCAACACGTAGGGTGGGCCCTGCCCCATCTCCCCCACGCAGCTGCTGGAGAGCTCTCCCTCTTCCCGGCAGCAGGTAGTACTGGGGTGAGGCTCCTCAGCAGTACCTCCAGGGCTGGCCTGAGACTGCATGGCCATGGCAGTTGCTGCAAGGGGGCATGAAGCCAGGTAAATGTCCTGCCTCATGCCCAGACCCCCAGTCCCCCTCACTCGCTCTCCTACCAAGACCCCACACTCCCAACTTGCTCTGAAACCCTCCCTTGTTCCTGCACCCTCCCTCCTGGCTAGACACCTACCCGCACCCTGCTCCTGCATCAACTGTTGCTCCTGCTCCCTTCACCTGGCCAGACACCCTACTCCCAGCCTGCTTCTGCGCCCTACCTCCCACCCAGATCCTGCAGCCCTGTCTCGCACACTGAACTCATTTTCGTCCTTACCCCAGAGCCTAAGGGGGGTCCATAAAATCCACTAACTCTGGAACCCCAGAAAAGTAAATCTGGCCTATGGGAAACCCTGAACCTCAGTCCTCCCTGTTCTTTCCCCTCACCACGTGGGGCTGGAGCGCCAGAGGAGTGAGGTGTCTCAGTTGGGGGTTTTGGGGGAGTTTTTTTGCCTCTCACTTGTGTGGTCCCCAATTGATTTTTCTGTGGGTCAGTGACCCCCGACCCAAAAAAGGTTCACTACCCCGCGCCATAAATAAAGAAAACATTGACACCTTTTGTGTTGGACATAAATTAATATTTTACTTAGTTTATCAAACTTCGTTTTAAATGAGTTAAAATGCTTAATTGGTTTAATAATTAAAATTAAAGCATTCTCCCTGGCTGCAGCTGGTTCAGAAAATATGGTCACTGTACCCAGCCTGCCTGTACTCCCTCCCCACTCCCCCCCGGCATACAGCTCCGTAAATAAGTTAAATTTTGGCACACCACTTCTGAAAGGTTGCTGACCCCCGGTATAGGCTTTCTGCAGTTCCATTCTGCTACTGGTAATAAAAATGCTCTCAAAAACTTTGAGAGCTGAAGTTCATGGTTAAGAACACAAATTATAAGCTTCCCCTGTATAAAGATATTTTTAATTTCAGTCTGTGGCATGGTTTGTTAGTCAAATACTTTCAGAAAACACTGAGTTTATAGCTTCCCTATTCCCCAATGACAGCACTGCACACCTAATTACAGAGCTGTGTGACTTTGTCCTCACCCACAACTACTTCCAATTTGGAGACAATTTGTATCTTCAAGTCAGCAGCACAGCCATGGGCACCCACATGGCACCACAATATGCCCATGTCTTTATGGTTGACCTTGAACAACGTTTCCTCAGCTCTCGCCCCCTAACGCCCTTACTCTACTTATGCTACATCGATGACATCATCATAAGGATCCACGGGAAAGAGACCCTTGAAGAATTTCACAGGGATTTCAACAACTTCCACACCACCATCAACCTCAGCCTGGATCAGTCCACACAAGAAATCCACTTCCTTGACACTACGGTTAAATGATGGACACATTTCCACCACCTTATACCGGAAACCTACTGACCGCTACACTTACCTTCATGCCTCTAGCTTCCATCCCAGGCTATGTCTAGACTACAGGCTTCTTTAGGAATAAGCATTTTTTGGAAGAGATCTTCCGAAAAAACTTCTTCCAAAAGAGTGTGTCCACACTGGAGAAGCGCATCGAAAGAGCGATCTGCTTTTTTGAAAGAGAGCGTCCAACCTGAATGGACGCGCGCTCGCATGTAAGCTATGATTGCAATGGACGGAGTGGCCACCAGGGCACCTGTGCTTTTTCCTCTTCTTCTGAAAGAACTCCCTCTTCCCCGTCCACACATGCCTTTCTGCGAAAGAGCTCTTTCACAAAAAAGCTTCCTCGTAGAATGAGGAGTGCCAATGTCAGAAAAAACCCTCTGTTCTTTCGATTGTCTGGCGGACGTTCCTCAAGTTTTGTCAGAAAAACAACCGTTTTTCCAACAAAACTCTGTAGTGTAGACATACCCCCAGGCACATTTCTCAAATCTATTGTTTACAGCCAAGCCCTAAAATACAACTTGATTTGCTCTAATCCCACAGACAAACACCTACAGGATCAGAGCATTCTTAAAACTGAAATACCCACCTGGAGAAGTGAAAAAACAGATTGACAGAGCCAAAAAAGTACCCAGACATGAACTACTTCAAGACAGACCCAAAAGAGAAAACAGAATTCCACTTGTCATCACCTATA